ACATGAATAAGTTTAAAGGAAAATCCTGTGCCTTGAGATAAACCTTTTAGCAACATTGTTTCATCCTATCACATGGGGATAAACCTTGGACAATACCTAGCTTTTCTAGGAACAAAGACACACCCTGCATGCCCAAAATCCATTAAACCTTGAGTTACCACAGCACCTGTCTCTTGCAAGGACAAGGTTGGGGGTAGGGTCACAGAGTAACAGCATCTCAAATACAGAACAAAATGGAGTCTCTTATGTCCACTTCTTTCTATATAGACACAGTAACAGGCTGATCTTTCTTTTCCCCACATCAACCAGAAATAAAATGCTAAGGTCCTCCCAACCCTCTGAATGAACTGCTTCTCTCAGAGGGACCCTCCAGGGTTAACCTGAAAGCCTGGTTCAGGCCATGACGGGGAGTCGGTGGTGATCGGGGATCAGACAGGCCTCATTTCCCCTCCTTCCTTTTGGAAGAGCTGACCAGCATGAACATCAACACAGACTTTAAGTCTCATAGGAAACATTCACAGTCTGTTCCCTCTGAAGCCCGCTACTCGGAGGTTTCATCTACATCATAAAACTCTGGTCTTCACAACCCACTGTCATAACCCAGACGTTCCTTTCTATTGATAATAACTCAACCAATTGCCGATCAGAACCATTTAAATCCACCTATGGCCTGGAAGCCCATCCCCGGCCGCCTTGAGTTGGTCCTGCCTTTCCAGTTCGAGCAGTGCCCATCCAGCATGTATTGAGTGACATCTTCTCTCTCCCTGAAATGTGTACAAGCAGGCTGTGCCCCGACCACCGCGGGCACGTGTGGTTAGGACCTCCTCGGGCTGTGTCAGGTGTGCGTACTTCACCTTGGCAAAATAAATGTTCTAAGTGGACTAAGACCTGTCTCAGATACTTTTGGGTTCACACCGGTCACTTAGCCAGTGGCAAGGCTGGAATCGGAACTCCACACCATCCACATTTGGTTTTTTCTTCCCCCGAAACACTTTTGCGGTCGGATCACACCCCCGGCAGGCGCCTGTGCTTCTCTCTGACACCGTCCTCTCAGCGCTCCTGTCCGGGTCATCTTTCCCTTGTGCTGCCCTGTTCTGGCCAGAGCCTCTTGTCGGGTCACTCTGGTCCCCGTGCGAGTGTCCCCAGCCAGGTCGCCCTCTCCTGCTGTGGTCCCCTCATCTGCAGTGGGAGATGACAGGTTGTCAGCGAGGTGATAGGAGTGTGAAGCCAAGGCCCAGTCCTGAGAAAGGGCCGGCCCCGAGTGGCGAATGGAAGGGTTCCACATGTCCCAGGTGGTGAGTGGAAATGAGCTCAGGGCGGACAAGTGCTGGAAAGTGGATACCTCAGGTTAGCACAAGGCAATTTGGAGGGGGAAGGGGAGGAGGCAGCAGAGGCTGGAACATTTCAGGAGGAGAGGGAAGAACCCTGTGGTGGAAAGAAGTTGCCGTTCATTGAGAAGAAGCTCCTCTAGGCTTAGAGTCGGTGCTGCCTGGGTGGCAGAACCATCTCGGCTCATTTTAGCTTTGATTTGAGGGTGCCAACAGAAGAGCCTTGCAGTTCTGTGAAGGGATCGGAGGAAGCTTCATATTAAAGTAAAATGCATGATTCCAGAGCTGCAGCCAGCCACTGCCTGCGCGTGCTCTGTGTTTTCATAACTGGGCAGACATGCGTGTACCTCCCCTCTCTCCTGCAGGCCTGTAATGCACCGAAACGTCCGCTACAACTGCAGAGTGATATTCCTCAACAGGTAGGCTCCCTGCCCCCGCCCCCGGGAGGGTGACTGGGGCCTCTCCCTGGCTCTCAGCCGAGGGTGCTGCCCTGGGGACCCATTACTGGTAGGCTGCTTCTGGAAGTGCCCGGGTTAGTCAGGGCCGATGCACCAGGCAGGTGACCGAGGTGCCTTTGCTTCTCTGGGTCTCAGCCACCACCGAGACAGGCATCATCAGGTATCAGAAAGAGAGAGACGCAGAGGGTGGGGGTGTGGGGACACAGGTCCTTGTGGCCTGGAAGCCAGTCCTGCTGAGCGAGTTCCCTGGAGCGCCTGGTCACCAGCTGCTGGTGAGGTGCACAACTGCTGGGGCTTAGCTGCTTCACTGTGAGGGTCAGGAACGGATGCAGCCGTGGAGACCTGAGTCAGAGAGAGAAAGTGGAAGCCCAGAGAGAGAGATTTGCTCGGGGCCCCATTCTTGAGCCAACTGTACACGGCATCACCTTGTCCCCCGGTGGCAGTGGCCACCGCCAGTGGCACGTTCGTCTCAGGAGCCCGGTGTGCACGGCTTTGTTCCCCTGCCTGCAGGAAGATCCTGCTCATCAGACCCAAGATGGCCTTGGCCAACGAAGGCAACTACCGCGAGCTACGCTGGTTCACCCCGTGGTCGAGGAGTCGGTGAGTCGGGTGCCGGACCGCTCCCGGGACGTGTGTTAAGCACCTTCGCTGTGTGTAGCCTCGGGTCCGGATCATGGGGGTGTTACTGGTGGAGGGTGTCCAGGTTCTTGACATTTTGAACAAAGGATTGGACAAAAAGCACAAACAAAGCAAACAAAGAATGAAGCAACCAAAGCAGAGACTGAATGAAAATAAAAGCCCACTCCACAGGGCGGGAGCGGCCCCAGCAAGCGGCTCACGGGCCCAGTTACGCAATGTTCTGGGGTTTAAATATCCTCTAGAGGCTTCCCATTGGTTACTTGGTGTGGGCCCCATGTCAATACAGAGGCTGAAGTGAAGTGACAAGGTTATTTACTTGGTGTACACACTATGCAAATAAAGAGGTGTTTCCTGTCTGAATTAGTTACAAAGTTATTTACTTGGTCTTAGAAAGCTGGGGTTTTTCGTTTGATTTAGTTCTAGGAAGTGCTCAGGTTTCCTGCCCCCAGACCCTATTCCACCTCAGCAGTGCCAGGGATATGGACTAGCTGGGGCCGATGGTGCAGGCGGTGAAGGGATTTACCAAGCCGGTTGTAGGCGAAGACAGGCAGATTGATTAGAGAAAGTAGGAAAATATTTTGCAAGATTGCAACAGGCAGCACAGCAGAGAAGGGGCTGTCTGCAGAGAGGCCGGGGCTGGAGGGAGGTGTTATAGGGTTGTGCTGGAGGGGGCTACATTGGGGATGAGGGAGAACTGTGGGAGCCACTACGGAAGGAGGTCATTGTGCCTGTGGAGGTCATCGTGCTCTCAGAACAATTGTTCGTTGTTCTCCACATCTAGGGCTCCATACTCATGGCTTCCTCATCTGATCAGGTCTCTGCAAGTAGAGGATGCCCAGAAACATGGACTAGGGTCTCCACCCCCTGGTGCCAGTTCCTTATATGCCTGATTTGATGCTGCTGATTAAATTGTAGCTAGGTTCAGCATAGATCACGTGGAACTCTCAGTCATCAGTCAGGGATGTCAGTCATGTTAGGTGAAGTGTCACTTCCATCTCGAATGATACTGAATGTCAGGTTTCATGTCTTCACCCGGTTGACCTTTGGGTCATTCTTCATCATGGGGCATCTGCCACATGCATCCTCAGGCATTTACTGGCATGGCTGGTCTCCCCACAGATACTCCCAGTTGTGACAACAAAAAATGTCCCCAGACATTACCAGATGTCCCCTGGGGGGCAAAATTGCCACAGTTGAGAAATTCTACTCTCTATTTTTACTACAGTTATTTCTATTTTTTATTGTTGTTATTGTAAATGAACTCTTTAATATTATATTTTTAAGTGGTTAATATTTTTATACAGGAAAACTTGATTTTTATGTTGCTTTTGTAATTGACCACCTCATTAAATTCTGTTGTGTCTGTTGGTTAGTCTGTTGATTTTTGTAGTTTTTCTTTTAAGTTAAACTTATATAATATGCAACGAATTTTCCTTTTCCTTTCCAGTATTTACACCTCTTGGTTCATTTTCTTAACTTTTGTTGGCCAGCATTTCTAGAACAGTATACTAGATCATTTCTGGAGCAGAATTCATTGCTAAGGGGCAGTTTCATCTTTTTCCCGACTTTCCTTGGAAAGTTCTTCATGTTTCTGCATTTGATTGGAGCTTATATCTATCTATAGCTAGTTTTACTTCAGATTTTTAAAAATTGAGAATGGATGTTGAGTTTATCCCATGTCTTTCTAGCATATGTTGAGGTGAAGATAAAGTAAATCTTTGCTTTCTAAATTCTCCAGAAAAAAAAAAAAAAAAAGCCGTCTTTTGATCTCCTAGGCTGAGCACCTACACTCAGCCACCTGGACTTTCACTTACCACGCGCCCCCATCCTCAGCCTCTAGACCTCAAGACCACCCCTTTCCCTGTCCCCTGTCTCCCAAGCCTAGTGTTCTGGTGCCCAGTGTGTGGCACAGTCTGGTCCCCAGTGGGATGATGTGCTGGGCCCAGGAGATGGTCCAGGTATCCTCTGCTTCCGGCTCTGTCTCACCCCGCCCTCTAGAGCCTGGTGCTGCCAGACACGGGCTGCAAGGTCTCCGTGGGCGGACGACTTTGCTTCTCATGGCCACTCTCTTCTGCAGGCTCCAAGGCTGTAATTTCATCCTCTCTGCCAGCAGAGGCGGAGAGATGTCTGCCCCCTCGCAGTTCACTTTCTGTCTTGCAGGTGGAATCGTTGACTGCTCTTGTCTGCCACTCACTCCTCTGCTGCTTTGCCGTTTCTGACTCCAGGGCAGTTCCAGAACCGGAATGACCCTCACAACCGAAGCCATTAATATGCCGGATACAGTGTGTCTGCATTTATGTCTCATTTTCAAGTGTGCACCACTGAGCTGGCAGGAAAGTACAGAATATATTGAGCCTAAAAACAGTGAAACCAGAGACCCTGGGAAACAAGGGTAAGACCCTGGGCACAAAGCTGGCTTTTGCCCCAAGGGTTTTCCTACGCCTGGAGACCTTGAGCTTTATTGATGATAACTCCATGGAAGTGGAGGTGGGGGGATGGGCAGGAGATCCAGTAGGAGACACCCCCGTATGCTGTCGCTATAGTCGGCTCACATTGAAACTGTGACTGAGACGTAAGCCCACTGCACAGAGAGAGAAGGCTGAACACATGCCTTCCTCAACCTGGTGCTTGGTGGAGGGGGAGAAATGTTGCCTAGAAATTGACAGCCTTTGTGCTGGAAACCTCCCTACCTGTGTAGTATAATAAGACTCAGGAGAAGAAGTTAATTCCATATGCACCCAAGATGAGTTCAGGCAGCATCCAGTCTCCAGGCAATAGACCTTCCAGAAGTTACTGTAGCGCCCGCAGACGCTGGGCACAGGCAAACAGACGTCTCTCTGGAGAAATTCACCTTCAATCCAGGCTGCTCAGAATTTCTAGACGTGACATTTATAGAAAATGAGAAACTCACAGTCCAAAATCATAAAATGTACAAGGAAATAAGGCACAATGAGTAAGAACCAGCAAAAAAAATACAGTAGATGCAGACGTGAAAGCTCGACACAGAATAGAAAATAAGTGTTCCTAATACACTGAAATAAATCGATGAGAAGCTCAAAAGGTAAGAAACAGACAATCAGAGTTAGAAAAAGAGCCAAATAATAATGTGGATGAATAACACGTAAGTTAAACATAGTTGAATAGAGAGGTAGGGAACTGAAAGGTAGACCTCTCCCAGTTATCCAGAATTTAAGCCTTAAAGAAAATCTGATGCAAACCTAAGAGACATTAAGAAACATGAGCAAAGAGTGAAAGTGGATAACAAGGGTGGAATCCCTGTCTCAGAAGGAGATAACGGAGGTTATGGAGAAGAGGCGGTATTTGAAAGAAGATGGAAACATCCACACAATATTTAAAAGATGCTGTTCTCAGATACACTAACTGCAACAGATCTCAACAGGATAAACAAACAGAAAGTCGCATATAGAAACATTCTTGTGAAACCACAGAACACTAAAGACACAGAGAAATTCTCCAAAGTAGCCAGAAGGGGAAAAGAAATCACCCACAAAGATTGAGCAGCTGGAGCAACTCCTGCTTTGTAGTGGCAAAGCCTAGAGCCAGGAGACGGTGGCTGGAAAAAATCTGAGGAGGGAGTCACCGGCAGCCGGGAATGTTAGAATCAGCAAATGCATCCTTTAAGAACAAGGACAAAATCAAGACATTTTTACACAAGCAAAAACAGTTTATCGTTGAAAGACTCAATGGAAATTCTGAACGTGTACGTTAGGCAGAAGGAAAATTATTCTAGCAGAAGCCTTGAAATTTCAAAAGGATTGGTGAAAAAGGATATTGATAAATTTGTATATATGTGTAAACAAACGGGACTGTACGAAACATAATGTCTAGTATGTAGTAGAAAATAGGCCAGCCCTAAATCGCTGCATAACTGTGCATGTTAATTAGGGCAATGCTCTGTAGGAGGATAAAGATACTGATCAATTTTTGACTTTAGGTGAAATACACATAAAGTTTCTAGGGTAACCACTAAAAGGAAAGATACAGAACATACGATTGTCAAAGTAGCAGGCAGAAGAAAAGAAGAATAAAAAGGAAAAAATGAAATAATTCCAAATGAAGCATAAAAGGAAGTGAGTTCTTTAAAAGTCCAGTAGAAAAAGTGGGACTCAGAGATAGCACATAAGACAGAATAAATCTGTCAGTAATCACTACAAATAAAAATGGACACAATAATTTGATTAAAGAACAGAGGTCATTATTCTGGATCAAATGAAAATCCAGGAATAGACTGAAACCGTATTGTAATTAACAATACATTTTGGCAAGTTTGCTGGATGATAAAACCAATCAAAAGTCAGGTTCCTTTCATTTACCAGCAACATTCAGTCAGAACGTGTAACTTTAAGGAAGATACTGTTTATTCCAGCAGCCAAAGTGCTTATGGATAACTATAACCAGAGATGTGTAAGCCCCGTATGGGAAAAAGTGATAAAATTTTATGGGAGGGCATTAACAACTACTGAGCTAAATGGAGATTGCCTGCGTATCTGAAAAGGAAGGCACAGTGTGAAAAGCATTCATCTCCCCTAAGTTGATCTATGGATTCAGTGTAGTTTCCATAAGAATCTGAACAGAAAATTCAATAAACCGGCTCCAATATTTCCATGGAAGAGCAAAAGGCCACGAATAGCTAAGATACTCATGAAGACCAAAAGAAAGGCCAGGCGTGGTGGCTCATGCCTGTAATCCCAGCACTTTGGGAGGCTAAGGCAGTCAGAAGTTCAGGATTCGAGACCAGCTCAGAAGTTCAAGACCAGTCTGCGCAACATGGTGAAACCCCCTTTCTACCAAAGAAAATACAAAAATCAGCTGGGCGTTGCGATGTGCACCTGTGGTCCCAGCTGTCGCGATCAGCTGGGTTGTGGAGACCCTAACCCAGCGGCACTAGAGGAATTAAAGACACACACACACAGAAATATAGAGGGTGGAGTGGGAGTTGGGGCTGACAGCCTTCAGAGTGGAGAGCCACGAATGAGTGTTACCCACATATTTATTGACAGCAAGCCAGTGATAAGCATTGTGTCTATAGATTATAGATTAACTAAAACAGGAAACAAAGGAATGGGCTCTGGCTACTTATCTGCAGCAGGAATATGTCCTTAAGGCACAGATCGCTCATGCTATTGTTGGTGGTTCCAGACCGCCTTAAGTGGTTTTCCGCCCTGGGTGGGCCAGGTGTTCCTTGCCCTCATTCTGGTAAACCCACAGCCTTCAGCCTGGGCGTCATAGCCATCACGAGCATGTCACAGTGCTGCAGAGATTTTGTTTATGGTCAGATCTGGGGGCCTGTTCCCAACACCAGCTACCTGAGATGCTGAAGTGGGAGGATCACTTGAGCCCATGAGACTGAGCCTGCAGCAAACCCCGATCGTGCCACTACACTCTAGCCCAGATGACAGAATGAGACCCTGTTCGTCCGTTTTCATGCTGCTGATAAAGACATACCCAAGACAGGGTAATTTATAAAGAAAAAGAGCTTTAATACACTCGCAGTTCCATGTGGCTGGGGAGGCCTCACAATCACAGCAGAAGGCGAAAGGCACATCCTACATAGCGGCAGACAAGAGAGAACGAGACCCAAGCAAAAAGGAAAACCCATTATAAAAGCATCAGCTCTCCTGAGACTCACTACCATGAGAACAGTATGGGGGAAACCATCCTGTGGTTAATTTATCTCCCACCAGGTCCCTCCCACAGCATGTGGGAATTACAGGAGCTATGATTCAAGGTGAGATTTGGGTGGGGACACAGCCAGACCATATCAGCGCACCTGGGTTGAAGTCCAAAGATAGGCGAGATTTGTTGCAGGGAGCACTTCCAAGGAGAGAGCATCACACGCTGGGGGCTCGGAGGTCCAGGCGATGCTCTGCTCCTTCACCTGGGTACTGCATGCACTGGACTTATTTTAATATCCTTTAATTACACATGTGTGCCTTTGTACTCTTTTGCGTAACATATTTTGCAATAAAACGAATCCATAAAGGAAGTCTGTGGCCAACCAGATTTTAGCGCTGCTTCTGCAGGAACCAGCTTTTCCTGCCGAGGTGCCTGTGGGATGTCTCTACGACTCTGGAGGTTCAGTAGCTCCAGCAAATGGCTTGGGGGTTCTCATCATTTGTTATTATACCCCGTAAGGCTGTAAGGTTTTTCGACTTCACATTCAGGTCTTCTTATTTCAGGAAAGTTGACCTATTTTCTGCTTCCAAAGGCTTTTGTTCTTTTGCTTCCGTTCTGTTCTTCAGGAATCTTGATGACTGGCAAGTGACATGTCTGTGTCTGCCTGCCTTATCTTTCATCTTCTTTCTAACCATCACTGTCTTCATGTATTTGCATTTTTTTCTGGCAGTTTTATTCCCCTGAATTTGTCTTCTCTGCAGTGCTTTTCACGGGGCTCTATCCTGTGCTTTGTTTTTCGAATCTACAAGCATTTTAAGACTTTTCAAAATCTTTTCTTAGTTGTCAACTTGTCTCCCGTCATTTATTTGTGCTTGTGTTGAGACCTTTTATCAGTTGATGTTGTCTCTAGGATTTCAGAGCATAAGTGTGGGGCTCCTGTTCCACCTTCCCCCTTTTGTCTCATGAATACCTCGGTGTCAGGTGTCACAATGGGCCCTCTGGGATGGTATTCCTTTCATCCCTGTGGAAGGGGTGGCAGGAAGGTGAGGCTGGAGCCCACCAGAAGCAACTGCACATTTTGGTTCGCTTAGAGAAAGCTGAGGTTTCTTTTTTTTTTTTTTTTTTTTGAGACGGAGTCTCGCTCTGTCCCCCTGGCTGGAGTGCAGTAGCCGGATCTCAACTCACTGCAAGCTCCGCCTCCCGGGTTCAGGCCATTCTCCTGCCTCAACCTCCCGAGCAACTGGGACTACAGGTGCCCGCCACCTCACCCGGCTAGTTTTTTGTATTTTTTTAGTAGAGACGGGGTTTCACCGTGTTTGCCAGAATGGTCTCGATCTCCTGACCTCGTGATCCACCCGTCTCGGCCTCCCAAAGTGCTGGGATTACAGGCTTGAGCCACCGCGCCTGGCCGAAAGCTGAGGTTTCTAATCTTCTGGGAGCTGTGCCAGATGATGACAAGAAATGGTCGTGTTCACCATGCCCCTGTTTTAGTAAAGAGTACTTGGCAGGCTCAAGGTGCCATTCCAGGTTCCAGGTCCTCTTAGGAAAACATAACTAAGGCCTGGTCCTTGCCTGCAGAGAGCCATTCTCAAGGTGTGCGCTGGCCGTGGAGCACAGCTGCAGTGAGGGGCAAGGCTGGGTGCATGCCCGTCCTGCTGGGTCTTTTGTCTGGTGCCCGGGGGATCTTTGCATGAGTCGAGGGAAAGGTGCAGATGCAGGGAGAGATGTTTGGACGGTTCCTGTGTTTAAAATGCATGTTGGTGCAGCAGCATCGCCATCAACAGGCTATGAGGGTGAACTGAGTGCTCGATATGGGATGCCAAGGCAGCCTGGAGGTCTGTAGGGTATCTTCATGTCCCCGTTCCCTATGTGAACGAGGGGAAAAGACATCATTGACTCAGTTTCTCAACTTTTAACATTTCTTAAGTAAAGAGAGCTACTAAAACCATGCCCAGAAGGCTCCTGGGAATTCTAAGAAAGCAAAAAGGAAACAGAGTTCCTTGCAAGTCTGAGTGGCGCATCTTGTAACAGCCTGTTGGAAGTCAAATACGTGAACCGTCTATTTTGAAGATTCCACCTCTTGGTGGAGCGTCTTGGGACACCTTGCACTAAAGTTGGTATTAAACCCTCCTCCCCATCTCTCAAATTGAGAGCATCATTTTATTCCAGGGATGTACGGGTTTGTCATTGTGTTTCGGGTTAATGCCACATGATTTTTCTGATTCAGTAACAGCAATCAGGAATTCCACCCTGATTTCTCCATGGGGCAGCGTGGTCAGTTCTCAGCGAATCCCCTGTGACACATCTCTCCGTAAAGATGACCATGAGCGTGTGGGGAAACTGAGACAGCCTGATGCTCGGAGAGCCCAGCCCACCACGATGTCACGTAGTCTCCTCAAGCCACCTTCATACTCTTTACCTTCATGCAATTGTTTATTGCACTGGGGGAACACTTGGCAGTTCCTTTGCCAGTTCATCCGTTCGGAGGGTTCAGTTTGAGTTTTGTTTAAATGTAGCTGCCCTTCCTCATTTGTCCTGAGATGCTCATCCTCAGATCCTTGGTGTTTTCCTCTCCAGGCACACGGAGGAGTACCTTCTGCCTCGGATGATACAGGACCTGACAAAGCAGGCGAGTCCCTGGGTGTGGAGCCCATTTTTCAGTCGGTTGTCGCTGTTCTCAGGCAACAGTGGACCGGGTGGGGCGGGAACCCTTTGGGATCCAGGTAACGGAAGGCACCACAGTGCGCACAGGTCTGAAACAGACAAAGGAGGCAGGTTCCTATAGCGAGGGGGGCTGCGCGCCAGGCAGCAGCCAGGGCGGCTCCTCCTGGCCTTGGGGCCGCTTTTCCTCCCTTTCCCTGCTCACACTGGCTTCCTCCTCTTGGTGTCCTCCTTGTGGCAGAAGACAGCCTTCTCCGCCCCAGGGGCTGTGTTCCTACATTTAAGTGTTATCTAGACTGACAGCAAACTGCCCTGTTCTCAATTTTGAATTCTAAGGGAAGGCACCCTGGTGTCCCCTCTCAGCCGCTGCTCTGTGGCCGGGAGTGGGGGCCGAGTTTCATCAACACAGGGCAGCAGCTGCTTCAGTGTGATCACAGAACAGGGTCACTTCAGAAGCCGCTGACCCCGATTGGCAACCCCATTGGTGACCGTGACATTCTGCCCCTTGGCTGCTCAGAGTACAGGCATCCCCTTATTCCACACATAGGCTCCTAAAGGCTCCTCTTCCTGGCACCACCCAGTGTCCCATGTGCAGCCACAGGGCACCCACCTCTTCGGAATGTGCGAGAGCCCAGAGCCAACTCCAGCTCTTGTGGCTGCAGGATGTGTGTGGCCCTAGGTAGTGTTTGTGGCCCAGACAGGGCGTGACCAATGAATCTTATGCACTCTTCTCTTCCGACGGCAGGAAACTGCGCCCTTCGGAGATGCGGTGCTGGCCACGTGGGACACCTGCATTGGAAGTGAGATCTGTGAGGAGCTCTGGACACCTCACAGGTCAGCCCCATGCCCCGTGCTGTCCGATCGCCCACCTCACATGGGCCAGCTGGGAGGACCTGGGACTGCAGACCTCCTGGGGCCATGACCGTCGGCCGGGAGCTGCCATGGGAAAGTGTGAGGGGCCGCCTGGGAGGCTGGGTTGGAGGAGTCTGGTGGCCTCTTCTCTTCACCTGCCTCTGCCCGCAGCCCGCACATCGACATGGGCCTGGATGGGGTGGAGATCATCACCAATGCCTCGGGCAGTCACCACGTGCTGCGCAAAGCCAACAGCAGGGTGGATCTCGTGACTATGGCCACCAGCAAGGTAGGGGTTGGGTCAGGGAGTGTGCACCACGGGGTAGGCACTGCATCTCAAGCACTCCTGCATCATTGCAGGGCTGGGCCCACACAAGATGGACCTTCTGGGCTTGTAATTACCGCCTGGACTCAACAAGTGTGCCCTGCCGCCCCCCGGGGCTTCGCTGGCACAGCCCATCTCACCTGCGCAGCTACCCCAGGAAGCCGACCCCGTCACCCTCCCTGCCGTGACCAGGAACCAGGACGTGCTCCTTGTTCGTTGGCATGATGGCGGGGCGTAGGGAACACCCGCACGTTTGCTGCATCTGCTCTTGGGCAGTGAGACGTGCAGCGGGCGGTGCTGGTTCGTCCTTCACGTTGCAGGTGTGGGTTTAGCTGAGCCGCGTTTGAATCTTGGCTTCATCACACGGAGCTTTCTTTGGCTTGTCTGAACCTCATCATGCCTCAGAGAGGTGACGGGGTCTGCCTTGTAGGGTTGTTATGAAGCAAAAACACATGTTTTATGAAGAGCCTGGCACCTAGCAAGGCCGGGCTCGCGGCAGCTTCAGGGGTCTGTGCTTCCCTACACGCGCGCGTTATCTCGGCGGTGGTGGGGCCGCTCATGATGACCTCGCGGGACTGGGGGGACGTTCCTGTACGCGGGCAGGTGGCAGGCGAGGGCGGTGGACCACAGCTGACCACTCCACTGTGGGCTCTGCCTTTTCCAGAACGGTGGGATTTACTTGCTGGCCAACCAGAAGGGCTGTGACGGGGACCGCCTCTACTACGACGGCTGCACCATGATCGCCATGAACGGAAGCGTCTTCGCTCAAGGATCCCAGTTTTCTCTGGATGACGTGGTAATGAACGGGCCTGGACGTGACTGGGGGAGGGTTCCCTGTGCAGAGGCCGAGCTCCTGGCCCTCTCCTGTAAGCCGGGTGCTTAGTGAGGGCCCCTGTGGAGAAGCCCCCGGGGGTCCCGCCTGCTCTGATGGCCTCTGATTTACCTGGTTGGTGAGGGGGGAACCTCCCACCCTCGAGTCTGAGGATAGCCGAACCCCGACACACGGCACATGGTACTGGACGGTTGAGGTGGGCAGCTTACGAGTTCTGCGTACCCACAGTGCGGGAGGAGGGCTCCGTGCCCCGCAGGGCCAGGTGGGAGGTGCACTCAGGAACCAAGGGGACAGCCCGCGGTGGGAGGCAGGCTCTGTGGTGCCGAGAGGACGGGTGCCGTCTGGCGCCTGTGGGAGGGTGGTGTTGGTTTGTTGGAATTCCAAGGGCTGGCAGGGAACCAGAGCCGCTCCTTTGAAAGGAGCAGACTCCATGGCCCCCGAGACAGGTCTAGGGATCCCACGTTTGGTGAGGGGGCCTTATCCTCAGGAGCAGAGCCGTCAGGGGAGCTCATGGTGAGGCCGTTCAAGGCCCTGCCATTCTTCCCCGGGTGCTGAGGCCACATATACTCATCTAAGGCCTTACACCACGCTGTCCCTGAGTCCGGGGAAGCAGGAGTGGAGACCCCAGGGCACTCTGGTCAGCGAGGCTTTGTTCTATGGGGCTCTCTGAGCACACAGTGACCAGCTGCGTGAGGGACAGCCCTGGGGAAGCTGTGAGTTACAGGTTGGAAGCGCCATTGCTATCCTGAAGCGACACAGATATGTGGGTGCTCAGAGGAAGGAGATAACAGAACAAAGCTAAGAACCCTGCCTGGCACAGTCCTCACCAGCAACTGAGCTGCCGCTTGGAATGGGGTTCAGGACCTTGTTGGAGCCCCAGATTCCTTTGGGAAGCTGATGAAAGCTCTGCACGTTCTGCGTCTAAAGATGCGCATTAGCACGGGGCAGGGCTTCCCAGGTGATCGTTACCGCGATGGGCGCGAACTTCCTCCACAGAGAAGGGACCACAGGTAGAAAGTCCTGGGAGAGGTTTGGGCCACTCTTCCTTTCAGTTTTTTGTTTGTTTGTTTGTTTTTGAGACGGAGTCTCGCTCTATTGCCCAGGCTGGAGTGCAGTGGCACGATCTTGTCTCACTGCAACCTCCGCCCCCCAGGTTAAAGCAATTCTACCTCAGCCTCCCGAGGAGCTGGGACTACAGGCGCCTGCTGCCACACCCGGCTAATTTTTTGTACTTTACTTAGTAGAGACAGGGTTTCACCGTGTTGCCCAGGCTGGTCGCAAACTCCTGAGCTCAGGCAATCCACCCACCTCGGCCTCCCAAAGTGCTGGGATTACAGGTGTGAGCCACCGCACCTGGCCTCCCTTTCGGTTTTTGAAGCAAACGAGAAAAAACGGGCTGTTATTGCCAAAAATGGAAATCAATCCCAAGTGCACAAATACAACAAAAAGTAACTTGTAGTTCTGTCCCAAGCCGGCGTGGGTTCAGACCCCTCGCGGGTCCCCAGCGCTCCCTCCCGCACACAGCGTCGCCGGACTCACCTTTGGACCCGACAGCGTTCCACTCTACTCTTGTTGGGGACGGGCATTAAAGCGTCAGATTCACCGAGGCAGGCAGTAGCACAGCAGACGAGTTCTGCAGCTGGCTTTGCAGGAGCAGAGCGAGTCTGTGTCCTGGCGTCACCGACTCTGAGAGGCTGTCCGAGCGGTTTCGTTGCTTTGCTGCCCCTGCGTTCCCGTCCTCACGATTCTGTCTGGTGCTTTCTGCACAGCATAGGCGCGGTCAGCACGGAGGCGGTTACGAAACCAAACCAGTTTCAAAGTGGACCGAGTGAACTTTACCCTGAAAAAGAATTCCACAGTCTTTTCAGGGGTTTCTTGCACAGGGGGCAGGCAAGGGTGTGGCCGTCTCAACTCCAGGCCCTGCTTTCCACGTGACAGCGTCCCTGCAGGCCTCCTTGCTCTTTGTCGTTAACCACGACAGAGCTGGAAGGGCTTTGAAGAGAAGGATTAAGTTCCTGCTGATGGGAAGTGTGGTCCTCTCCCCATTCCCCACGTCACAGCCACAGGCACGTTGGCGGTCGTGTTGATTGGCAGGTGTGTTGGGAATCACCTGCCCCAGGACCCCCGCAGGTTCCTGGCCCCACATCAAGCCCCTGAACCGGAGTCTTCGGGGGTCTGCATTTTTAGTGAGCGCCAGGCAGTTGTTTCATGCACTAGAATCCAGGAGCCGTTGTCTCTAGAATTCCTGATGTGGCCCGAGATCTCCGTCCTAGGCTACAGCCACAGGTCTGCTGCATTGAGAGTGGCAGTGCTGTCCTCAGGCTCAGGACACCACCCTCTGCCAGGTCCTCCGTGGTGCACCTGAAATCGTCAACAGAAGTCTTGTGACACGTGGAATCATTTGAGAGTCTCCCCTTCTGCCTCCCGCTCGAGCAACAGACCTGCCGGTCCCCGTCGTCGGGCCCATGTTTCTTAGGGTCTTCCTAATCCCCTGGGCTTTCCGGCTTGTTGGGTGCCTGGAGTCAGGCTGCAATATGGAAGGCTGTTAACCTAGCCTTAGGGAGAGTGGGATGGAGCCACCTTCTCATGGAACAATCCTCACCTACCCCATCTCCATTGTTTTATGGCTTCACACTTACCATGGCTTTCTGCATGGAAGCTTGGTGGCCGCAGTGCCATCACTTTGGAAAGCAGCCAGAGAACCACAGGATGCGCGAATCGGTCTCCTTGTCTTCATGGGCATCTCTAGCCAGGTCTGGCCCCCTGTTACAGCAGTAGGAGTGAGGGGCGCGCAAGGTGGCCACGGCCATCCTGTGAACCACCACAGTGGTGCAGGTGCTGTTCCCGCTGTCCCACGCTTGTGTTTAGCAAGGCAACACTCAGGAACACAATTTGATAAAGGTATTTTTTCATGAAGGAATAACCCCTGAGTTAAAATCTCATTTCTGCCCATACTGCAATTGGCAGAACCCCTACCACAGCCAAGTTCAAAGGCAAGGCAGTGTCACCTTCTGTGACACAGGCAGCACGTCCGGGCCAGGACCCTGGCATGGATACCGGGCCTGTGGCTCTGCCTCTGCCCTCCCCCAGCTCCACCCTCCTCTGTGTTTGGCCTCATTCTCAGGTTGTCCCCCAGCTCCGCCCTCCTCTGTGTTGGCCTCAGTCTCAGGTTGCCTCTCCTCTTGGGCATGGGATGTTTGCAGCAGCTCCAGCCATCCCATCTTCACACAGCCACATGCAGAGGCAGCAAAGGGGCCCTGGCTCCCTGTGTGTCTTTTTGATGAGAAGGACATTCCCAGAAGTCCCCTGCAGAGGCTTACTGACAGGGGGGTGTCTTACTGACAGGGGGGTGTCTTACTGACAGGGGAGTGTCTTACTGACAAGGGGGTGTCTTACTGACGGGGTTGTCTTACAGGGGAGTGTCTTACTGACAGGGGGGTGTCTTACTGACAGGGGGATGTCTTACTGACAGGGGAGTGTGGGAGTGTCTTACTGACAAGGGAGTGTCTTACTGACAGGGGAGTGTCTTACTGACAGGGGGGTGTCTTACTCACAGGGGGGTGTCTTACAGGGGGATGTCTTACTGACGGGGGTGTCTTACAGGGGGGTGTCTTACTGACGGGGGTGTCTTACTGACGGGGGTGTCTTACTGACCAGGGGGTGTCCTACTGACAGGGAGGTGTCTTATAGGGTGGTGTCTTGTGCCATGATTAGTGGGTCACTGGCCAGTGTCTGAATGCAGTGGAGGTTCTGGTGGCAACAGTGAGGGGGAAGAGCTGTGGGCTGGCCTCAATGTCATCTGTCCCATCCCTGGGCCCCCAGGAATTCAGGGGTCTCAGTCCCTGCTTTAGAAGGTGTGACAACACCTTTGACAGCGGCCACATTACATGTGGGGGTGGAACAAACAGGAAATCACAGGTTCTCTTTGAAATTTCCTTCCCCAGGAAGTCCTGACGGCCACGCTGGATCTGGAGGACGTCCGGAGCTATAGGGCGGAGATTTCATCTCGAAACCTGGCGGTGAGTGCTCCAGTAGACAACTGTGTGGGACGCTCCTCAAAGATGTGGAAAGTGGCCCCTTTCGTGCGGGCCTGGTGGCGGCCATGAGGGTGCAGTGCCTGAAAAATCCAACGGGAAGTTCCGGACTTCCCAAGTGTGGAAAGGGCTGGTGCTGTAGACGGAACCTGCTTCCATCTCTTCCCCATCGTCCTCTGCTTGAGCCAGGCCCTGAGCTGGGGTGAGCTGGGAACAGGCAGGCAGAGAGGCTGACGAGACGAGACGGTCAGTGTGCTAGGGGCTGCCACACAAGGAAGACCCAAGCAGCCTGGGAGCCCAGGAAGGCCTCAAGGTGGGGGGTGGCAAGCGCAGTAGGAACAGGCACACAGTGTGCAGCCAAGGCTGGTCCCCACCTCGGCAGTCGGAGGCAAGGTCCAAGGCACAAGCGAGCCTGTGTCTGAGACCCTGGGAGGCAAGTAACGCCCCTCCTGCAGCCCAAGGTCCTGCCGCTGGTAGCCTGGAGCTCTGCGTTTCTGTGGGATGTCATCACAAATAGGATATCCAACTGTGCAGCTGTCCTGAGACAGTGATTTTCGCAGACATTGAAGAAGTGTGGTCCTCGTAACAGAGCGGACTCTTCTGCTGTTGATTGATTGACACAGGGTCTCATTCTGTGTCCCAGGCTTGAGTGCGGTGGTACCATCACAGCTCACCGCAGGCTGGACCTCTGGGACTCAAGTGATCCTCCCACCTCAGCCTCCCAAGCAGCTGAGACAACAGACACATGCCACCATGCCCAACTAGTTTTTAATTTTTTTCTTTTGTAGAGACAGGGTCTCACTATGTTGCCCAGGATGGTCTTGAACTCCTGGGCTCAAGCAATCCTCTCACCTTGGCCTCCCAAAGTGTTGGAGTTACGGGCGTGCACTACCATGCCCAGCCTTTGTTTTCATAGCAGTTTTATTAAGTCGTATTAGCCATACCACCCAATGTATCCATTTAAGCACCCGATTCAGTGCTTTTTCGGGTTCTCATGGAGTTATGCAGCCACGATCTGAGCACATTTTCATTACCCCAAAAAGAAACTCCACCCCGTTCCCCTCCTCCGCCCCTGACAACCACAAGTCTACTCTCTGTCTTCATGAATTTGCCTATTCTCAACATTTCATTGGGATGAAATCACATAGCGTATGGCTTCCCACACTTTACTGTGCTGTTTTCAAGGTTTATCTATGTGTCGGGTGCAGCCACCCCTCGATATCCACAGGGGTTGGATCTGGGAGCCTCAGCCTCCACCGATCCCCTGCAGGGATGCCTGTGTCCCGCAGTGCCCCCTGCAGAGCTCACTGACACGAACAGTCGGCCCTCTGTATCCATGGGCTTCAGATCCCGCGATTACTGTATCTTCTATCTGTGTGCGGTTGAATCTGTGGGTGTAGAACCCACAGACACAGGGAGTGACTGTAGTTCATCCCTTCGTGTGGTCAGGGCGTGTTCTGTAGCGGAGATGGACACGTTGTGTTTATTCACTCATCCACTGATGGGCATCAGGAATGCTTCCACTTTCTGTCTATCATGAATAATTCTGCTACAAACATACATGTACTTTTGTTGGAGGGAACACGTGCTTTCATTTCTCTTGGGTGTGTCTATCCAGGAGTGGAATTGGCTGGGTCTTATGATAACTCTGTTAGCCATTTTTTGTGTTTTTTTTTTCTCGTTGGTTTTTTGTTTTTGAGACGGAGTTTCACCCTTGTCACCCAGGCTGGAGTACAACGGTGCGATCCTGGCTCACCACAACCTGTGCCTCGTAGGTTCAAGCGATTCTCCTGCCTCAGCCTCCCGAGTAGCTGGAATTACAGGCGCCCACCACCATGCCTGGCTAATTTTTGTATTTTTAGTAGAGACGGGGTTTCATCATACTGGTCTGTCTGGTCTCGAACTCCTGGCCTCAGGTGATCCACCTGCCTCGGCCTTCCAAAGTGCTGGGATTACAGGTGTGAGCCACCACCCCTGGCTCTGTTGAGCCTTTTGAGGAGCTGCCAGAGCGTTTGCCACACGGCTGCACCGTGGTGGGTTCCGGGCAGCCGGGTATGAGAACCCCGGTTTCTCGCCCCTCACCAACACCTGTTGCCATTGGTCGTTTTGCTCCTCGCCATCCTCGTGGCAGTGAGGGCGGCCTCGCTGTGGTTTTGACATGGCTGATGGAGTCCTGCTTGCCTGTCGGTCCCGGGGACCCAGAGGGTTTCCATGAAGCTGGGAGTCATCCTGTCTGAATCTCCATTGCCAGGCCAGCAGGGCGAGCCCCTACCCCCGAGTGAAGGTGGACTTTGCCCTCTCGTGCCATGAGGACCTCCTGGCACCCGTCTCTGAGCCCATCGAGTGGAAATACCACAGCCCTGAGGAGGAGATAAGGTGTGTGGCCCCGACCCCTGGGAAGGACCTGGCATCCGCGTGGCCACACCTCTGGGGTGGGGACTCCTGGAGGTCACGCAGTGGGTTTTCAGAACCTGCCTGGGTGGAGACTTGGCAGGAGGCAGCTGTGCCTCCCCTGGGTTGAGGGCATGGATGCTGGAGCCAGACCTCCTGGGTGTGACCCCCAGTCCTGCTCCTTCCCCGGGCTGTGACCTTGGGCCCCAAGGCGCTGTCCTTTCTGTGGCTCAGTGTCCCCATTTTAAAATGAGGATGATGATAATACCCACGTCCCGGGGCTGTCTTTGGAATCACATGCGTCCCTTCTCACGAGGTGCCTGAAGCAGAGACGGGCGTCCTGAGAGCCCAGCGTTGACTCCGGCACTGCAGCCTCCTGGGGCCTGCTTGGGTGGGTTGTTGGGGGCTGTGGGCCGGGGCGTCCGCCTCTGGGCTCCATGTTCTCTGATTGCCCTGCAGCCTTGGACCTGCCTGCTGGCTCTGGGACTTTCTAAGACGAAGCCAACAGGTAAGACTTCCAGTTTCTAGTGAGCCCACTTTGCTTGTTCTACTGGTTGGTCTGGTTTTATTCTGGCGCAGGGTAGGGATTTTTTCTTTTTTTTTTTTTTTAATGCAAATGACAAAAATCATTTCATCACTCTGCCTCCATGGTGAGCTTAGTCTGCACTAGCCAGAGGCAAGGTGGGCACAGTGGCTGGTGGGTCGGCTCCACCTTTGGAGGCGGAACCCAGCCTGTCGGCATCCAGGATCACGCTCGCCATCTCGCCAGCATTGTAATCCCGCGTATCTGTAGTTCATCAGTGGAATCAGCTCAGACACGCCCCACAGCGAAGCGTCTCTTTTCCCTCTGAAAAATCCATTAATCCTGCCACGTGTGGGCATTTGTCCTGACCCCGTGGAAAGTGCCGACACTCACGTGCATTTCTGTGGACGCCTCCGTGAGGTCTGTGGGTGGAGCTTGGCTGGTCCGTGGGCATGCCGCTTCTCCGAGGCTCTGCTTACACTGTGTTTGGTTGGTCCATTCCAGGCGGGGTTTTTGCTGCCCCTGAGTGGCGGGGTGGACAGCGCAGCCACCGCCTGCCTCGTCTACTCCATGTGCTGCCAGGTCTGCAAGTCTGTGAGGAGCGGAAGTAGGTGACATCTGTTGGCTTGAGGGAGGCTCCAGGGTCCAGCCCTTGGGCTACCTGAGTCGGGGACCCAGGAGGGGGCAGAGGAAACACCCATGCCGTCATCGGGGTGAAAGGGGCTTTGTGGCCACGCACAAATGTCACAACGTCACATCCCGGTCCTGCAGCCAAGGCAGCAAGGCCATCAGCAGCTTCCTGGAGCTTTGGGCCTATGTGGCTGAGTCTCCAGAGCTGCACCTGCCTGCTCTGTGCACGGTGTGGCCTGGTGGAGAGAACACAGGCGTTGGAGGTTCACATCCTCCCCTGTGTGATATGGTATCGGACATCATCTCAGCATATGCAGCAGCATATGCAGCAGAACAGGGGTGACGATGCCCGTCGGATGGGGCTGTGGGCCATAGCGTGGGCTGGCGCTACACAGGCACCTGGGGGTGTAGACCAGGGTGGAGCCGCACAGTCACCTGGGGGTGTAGACTGGGGTGGAGTTGCACGGGCACCTGGGGATGTAGACCGGGGTGGAGTTGCACGGGCACCTGGGAGCTGTAGACTGGGGTGGAACTATGTAGACACCCCACACACTCAGGTGACTTCCACCCATTCTGTCCTGGTGGTTTTCAGATCAGGAAGTGCTGGCTGATGTCCGCACCATCGTGAACCAGATCAGCTACACCCCTCAGGATCCCCGAGACCTCTGTGGACGCATACTGACCACCTGCTACATGGCCAGCAAGAACTCCTCCCAGGAGACGTGCACCCGGGCCAGAGAGTTGGCCCAGCAGATTGGAAGGTGGAGATGGCCCCTGGTGCTGGGCATGGCAGGCGGCTGACAGGGCTCAGAGCCGCTGGAAGCTCTGCCTGTGAGCGCTTTGGTGACTGGCTTCATTCACTCCACATCGTGTCATCCACAATGTGGACAAACGTGTCAGTGTTCCGTCCCTTGTTGTGGGTGAATAATATTCCACTGTCTACAGATAGACCAGTTGGTTTCTCCAGTCATCAGCAATTGCTTAAACGTGCATCTAGGAGTTTATCAGGGCTCCACTTTCTCTTGGTTTGAGACAGATTTCAGGGAAGTTATGTATGAGTCCTCCCTATCTGACCGTTTGAGACAGATTTCAGGGAAGTTGTGTATGAGTCCTCCCTATCTGACCCACCCGAGTCTCCGATGGTGCCTGCAATTTCCACCCTTCCGTCCCCTCACTCCGTGCATTCCCAGTAAAGGCTGCAGGTCGTATGTGCTCACCAGGGTGCACAGCAGGTCCTGGGAGTTGGCTGCGGGCTGGCTCCTACCCCTCCTCCTGTCCCTTCGCCCTGCCCTCACTGCCTCTTCCACGGGCAGTTCTCTACCTGAGGACAGTGGAGGGAGGGCACCTTTCCAGAGAAGAGAGACTGGGTTTCATCTAGAATGTTCCATCCGTAATGGCTCCTAGGAGAAAATGAACAGCTCCCCATCCTGTTTGTTGAGCTCAGCTAAAAGCTGTCCCCCTGCCCCCCAACAATTCTCCTCTTAGATATGTACTCAGAGGAATCAAAAGCAGGGACCCAAACAGATACTTGTTCAGGAAAGTCCATAGCAGCACCATTTGCAGAAGCCAAGAGGTAGGGACAACCCAAGGTCCATCTCAGATGAACGGAGGAAGAAACTGTGGTCCATTCACACAGTGGAATATTATTCACCCATGAAAAGGAGTGGAGCACGATCACATGACACAGTGAGGAGAAACCTTGAAGACATGGTGCGGATGAAAGGAGTGGAGCCAGCCACACCAGGCCACATGGTGTTTGATTCCATTTCCACACAATGTCCAGAACAGGCCACGGCACAGAGAGAGAGGGAGTCTGTCACTGTCTGCATCTGTCCGTGTCACAGCTGTCAGAGCTGGAGGAGGAGGGAGTGGGGACAGACTGCCAGTGGGATGGGGTTTCCTTCTCTGGTGATGGGAAGTTCTGAGCTGGATGGTGGTGATGGCTGCACAGCACTGTGGATTGCTAAACACCACAAATCATACACTTTAAACGGGTTACAATGGTCAGTTTTAGGTCATCAGGGCTTCACCGCACATGCACACACACATGCACACACGTGCACATGCTGCCTTCAACACCTACCCTTCTCCCTCCAGCCATCACATCAGTCTCAACATTGATCCAGCCGTGAAGGCCGTCATGGGCATCTTCAGCCTGGTGACGGGGAAGAGCCCTCTGTTCGCAGCTCATGGAGGAAGCAGCAGGGAAAACCTGGCGCTGCAAAATGTGCAGGTGCCCCCGCCGGGGCCGGCGTCCCCTGGGGGTGGGGGTGGGGGTGCAGGGAGCCCTGGGACAATCACTGCAAAATGTGCAGGTGCCCCCGCCTGGGCCGGCGTCCCCTGGGGGTGGGGATGGGGGTGCAGGGAGCCCTGGGACAATCACTGCAAAATGTGCAGGTGCCCCTGCCTGGGCCGGTGTCCCCTGGGGGTGGGGGTGGGGGTGCAGGGAGCCCTGGGACAATCACTGCAAAATGTGCAGGTGCCCCTGCCTGGGCCGGCGTCCCCTGGGGGTGGGGGTGGGGGTGCAGGGAGCCCTGGGACAATCACTGCAAAATGTGCAGGTGCCCCCGCCTGGGCCGGCGTCCCCTGGGGGTGGGGATGGGGGTGCAGGGAGCCCTGGGACAATCACTGCAGGATGTGTCGGTGCCCCGGCCTGGGCCGTCATCTCCATGAAGGTCATGGCACAGGGAGCTCAGGGACAACTAGTGCTGGGGTCACAGCCTGTGTGCCTTACTGAAGACGTCGGTCATGCAGCCTTGTTAACAAGGAGGGGGTCTGTGTGTGTGTTGGTGCGTGAGCCTGTGATGTGTAAGAGCAAGAGCGGGGGTGTAAGGGTGTGCATGCACGAGTGTATGCACCAGCATGAGTGCAAGAGGAGGGTGTGAGCCTGGGTGTGAGCATGAGTGTGAGAGGTTACATGAGTGTATGAGAGTACAAGTGTGTGAATGTGAGTATGCACAAGTGTGGGTGTGCTTGTGAGTGCTTGTGCACAAGTGTGTGTGGATGTGCGAGTGAGTGTGCACAAACATGAGTGCACAATTGTGTGCATGAGTGAGTGCATGAGCATGCCTGTGAGCGTGCGGGTGGGTGGGTGTGCATGATGTGAGAGTGCACGTGACTGTGTGTGAGTGTGTGTCTTTTTAATCCTCAGGGAAAAGCCCAGACGCTGTCTGCCTCCTGGGCTACTGCACTTGACTGGGTGCTCCATGATGGGTGGAGGAGAAGAGAGGCCAAGGGCTCCCGCTGCTGGGATCTGTCCTATCTCACCCTGTCCCCTTTCTGCTGTGCCTTGGTGGCCTCTCCCCTCCTGCCAGTGGTAAAGGGATGGAAATGCAGTTGCCAAACTTTCTCCCAGGGACCCCACAGCTCAGTGCTGCCACTGATGCTCCCTCTGCCCTCTGCCCTCCGGGGCTCCGGGTGCTCCCATATTTGAAGACAAGCCCCACGGAGCTTGCGTGAGCCCTGTGGAGTTGGGACAACCCTGAGAGGAAGGCCTCGGGACACCGTGGGACTCTGAGACTCTGATGTTCCCAGAACACTAGAGAGCTCCTAAGCTGTTTTAATTTTCTTGTTTTCAAGAGTTTGCGGGTGCGCGTCTCCCGTGTGTTCCTTTGCGAGGGAACCTGTTATTTCCTCTGTTGTGTTGTCCAGGCTCGAATACGGATGGTCCTCGCCTATCTGTTTGCTCAGCTGAGCCTCTGGTCTCGGGGCATCCGTGGTGGGCTCCTCGTGCTGGGATCCGCCAACGTGGATGAGAGGTGAGTGTGGTCCAGTGGCACGTGGTGGTGGGCCCCCGAACCTCTCAGGACTCTGAGGGTGACACGCTCTGAGGGTGACTCCTGTGCCTCTCATGGCGGGTTTGGTACCTGGAACGACATCATTCCTCTAGAATTTCACCCACCCCGAGTGGCAGAGCTATGAGCATTGTGTACCTGCCAGTGGCTCTGGGTGCTCACCACTTTCATCAGCCTTGTGGTTCTTCGTCTCTCCTGCACCTCAAATTCATCTTCCCACTGCCCTCTGCCATGGTTGGGCTCCCCTCTTTCTTCTAGGCTATTCCACTGCCTCTTCAGTCATTCCTTTGCAGCTAGTTTTTACCTCCAAACCAGAGTTCATTTTTTATGTGGACTGAAAATACTCCCCGGATAAAATTCAAGCTGCCCCTCGAGCCCAGCAGTGGAGGCTCCTAGAAATTCTTTTCCAGCCTTGGTTTCCCCACTTCCCTTAGGTGAGCCTCTGCCCCTCTCAGCTCATCTGTGCTATTCTTAGTTGCTCCTTAGGAGCTGAGGAATTTCAAAAACTATTTGTCATGTATTCATTTGTTTGTCTCTGCATCCATCTATCCATCCATCAGTTGGGCCATCCATCTATCCACCCATCCATCCATCTGTCCATTCATCTATCCATCTATGCATCCACCCATCCATATACCCACTCACCTGTCCATTCATCTATCCATCTGTCTGTCCATCCATTCATCCATCCATTCACCCACCCACCCATCTGTCTGTCCACCCACCCACCTATGACCTATCTATTCATCCATCCACCCACTACTCACCTATCCATTCATTCACCCATCTGTCTGTGCACTCATCCATCCATCCGTGTACCCACACATCCCTCCACCCAACTGTCCATCCACACATTCATCTACCCACCCACCTATCCATTTATCCACCCATGTGTCTGTCCATCCACCCATCTGTCCATCTGTCCACTCATCTATCCATATATTCATTCACCATTTCATCTGTCCACTTACCCATCCATCCGCCCATCTCTCCCTTTGTCCATCCATCCACCCATCTGTCCACATTTCCTTCCTTCCATCCATCTATCCCTCCCTTTTTTCTATGGTGTGAGTGCCTTTTTCTTTTGAGACAGTCTCGCTTTGTCGCCCAGGCTGGAGTGCAGTGGCGCCATCTTGGCTCACTGCAACTCCACCTCCCGGGTTCACACCATTCTCCTGCCTCCGCCTCCCTGGTAGCTGGGACTACAGGAGCCCACCAACGTGCCCGGCTAATTTTTTTGTATTTTTATGAGCGACGGGGTTTCACCGTGTTAGTCTTAATGTCCTGACCTCATGATCCGCCCGCCTCGGCCTCCCAAAGGGTATAAGTGTCTTAATCACTCTGCATCCTTATCTGTCTACAGACGTGTTCTCTTTTAAAACTGATTTTTTACTTTTAAACCCTATTTTATTGTTCTAATTACAGAAATCTGAAATTAACACCTGATACTGTGTAAACATTCTCATCCTCCTCATGCATGTTTTGATCATTGCTTTTCTGGTGCCTCTAGTGCCTTTGTAAGGGACTGATTTTTCAGGAGGGGTGAGTGGCTGGTGTGTATTCTGAGCTCTGGTGTAGTTGAGGAGATTGATGTTTGGTTTGGTTTTTCATTGCTTTTGTAGATGCGGAAGAATTTGATCTGTTATAAAATTGTGTTATAACAGTTCCCCTCACAACTCTTGTCCATCATTTTCTAGTATTTAAAATGTTAACAAAGAAACGAGTATTTTTTCCAGGGCGGGATTGGGTTCCGGGAGCTGGAAGGTCTCTAGATGCCATTTAGAAAATAAACAAACGGGCCGGGTGCGGTAACTCACGCCTGTAATCCCAGCACTTTGGGAGGCCGAGGCGGGCGGATCACGAGGTCAGGAGATCGAGACCATCCTGGCTAACACGGTGAAACCCCGTCTCTACCAAAAATACAAAAAATTCGCCAGGCATGGTGGCGGGTGCCTGTAGTCCCAGCTACTCGGGAGGCTGAGGCAGAAGAATGGCGTGAACCTGGGAGGCAGAGCTGGCAGTGAGCCGAGATGGCGCCACTGCACTCCAACCTGGGCGACAGAGCGAGACTCTGTCTCAAAAAAAAGAAAAGAAAAAATAAGCAAACGTAATCCCTCAGCTGCCCCTTTCTCATTGCGGGACAGAAGGCTCTGTGGCTGCGGACACGCCCCTCATGATGTAGCAAAACCCTTCTGTCTGTTTCACATGCCGCATCCCCGTCTGCTGTCTTCTTCTCACTGGACACAGCCAGTCCTTCTCTTCCTCTGCGTTCTGGCGAGAATCTCAAGTGTGTAGTGTTGATTTCTTTTAAATTTCCCTGTAATTCTGTTGTTGAATTGCTTCTGATTCTAGTTCCGTTGCATCCCTGTCTGCGGGCCTGTTGGACACCTGTCCCCCATCAGGCTTTCTTCCCGGTGGTGTGAATGAGTCAGAAACAATTCTTGTTCTCTGCAAGTAGGAGCAGACAGCGATAACCCAGCTGATAACATGTGTGTTGCAGGAAACATCTGCCGAGAGAGCTCAAGCAGGGGAAGGGAGAGCAGCTCACCCAGGGAGGGCCCTACTGAGAAGTGGGTTTCATAAAGGCCTGCGGGAGGCGAGGGTGGGTGGAGAAGAGCCCGTGAAGGCCAGGACTGAGGTTCCGTCATTGTCTCCCTGAAAGGCCTGGTCTTGAGCGGGGACTGGAAGACCCACAGAGCTGGTTTTGGAAAGTGTGCGGTGTGGGGCAGGGGGAGGTGTGAGAAGCCAGAGACAGCTGTTTCCAGAAATTTCACTTCGAAGAGGAGGGGAGGCGCAGGATAAGCGCTGCCGAGATCAGTGGGGACAGGAAAAGGAGTTTGCTTTATTATTAGAGACAGGGTCTTGCTCTGTCACCCAGGCTGGGGTGCCATGGCACCGTCACGGCTCACTGCAGCCTCGACCTCCTGGGCTCAAGCGATCCTCCCACCTTAGCCTCCCAAGTAGCTGGGACTGTAGAGGCACCACCACACCTAATTTTTTTTTCTTTCCGCTCTGTTGCCCAGACTGGTCTCCATTTGTTTTCTTGCCTTAAGATGCTGTAAAGAAAAGACCAACAGAGAGCGGGGTGGACTTGCTGGTGCGGAGCAGTGGGGATGTTACTGGCGAGATGAGAGCAGGTGACCAAGCAGGAGCGTGGCTTTGCTGGGGGCCCGGCCAGCGCATCCCCAGCAGCAGGAGGGGTGGGTTCAGAGGCAGGCCCAGGAGAAGGTTCCAGAGGGAGCAGGAGGGGAGGGGAGAGTGAAGCCAGCCCTGCGGGGTTAAGTTGGGGTCAGCACGGGAATGCAGAGCTGAGAGACTGTGTTGAAAGTGGGCATCTAACACCATGATTTCGGCTGCTGGAAGTGACCAGCCTGGGGGAAAGCTCCGTGCAGAGCGCGAGAGGAGGGGACAGCTGCTGGAACTCGGTGGTCCTGTGTTGAAATTTATGGCCACGCCTGTTGCTGGCTTCAGAGTCTCACCAATCCACCAAATCAGTCTCAATTTCACCAGAAAAAGTCTGCCTCAATTTTCTCCCTATAACCGTGCCTCCCCATCCCCGTGGTCCCCAACCTCCCAGCCGGAGTTTCCTTCTGCCAAGACGAGGCAGCATCCTGGCCCTGTGGGTCTGCAGGTTGAGCTGAGCTCTGCACTGCGGGATTTCGCCTGGCTGTGCTCTCTGAGTCAGCCCAGGCGGATTTCCCCAGTCCTGGGCAGTCACTGGGGATGGAAGAGAAAAGGTGGTAAGATGGAGACTGTCATCTCCCCTGGCCCATCTGGCCCATATCCCAGCTCCTGCTAAAGGACTCTTGGGCGGGACAGGACGGGGAGTGATGGGGCGACTGGGACGGCCCCCACTGAAGGCAGCACAGGGTCTCACTTGTCCCTCTGTGGGGACCCTGGGGGTCTTACACCCCCCGACATTGCTCCACGGTGAGGGTCTGGAAGGGTGAGAAGGCGTGGAGGTGTGAGTTTGAGAGTGTCGAGAAAAGCCTCTGGTGGGGTAGGCAGGGGCCAGCCTGGAAGGCCTTGCAAGGTCAAGGGCAGCGTTGAGAGGATTCAGACGGTGGAAGGGCCTGGCCTGGCCTGGTGTGGCGGAGATGGGTGGTCAGCCAGGAGTCCCGTGGAGAACCTGGAGGCCTGTGCCAGCGGTGGCAGTGGGGTGGGGTGGAGAAGGGCGGCTGGAACCCAGTACCACTAGGTGAGTGCCTTCAACAACACACATTTATGGTCCATCAGTTCTGTGGCACGCACGTCCAGTATGGGTCCCCTGGCTCAAGTTAAGGTGTGGACGTGGTGGGTTCCTTCTGGACGCCCCAGAGAGAATCTGTTTCCTGCCGTTTCCAGGCTCTGGAGTCCTGCCGCCTTTGGCTCACGACCTCCTCCGTCTTCACCACCAGCGGCCCCGTGTTTCTGCCTTTCCCCTGCAGTCAGGGCTCCCTCAACTCTCATTTTCACCCCCTTCTTTTAAGGACCTCTGTGATTGCCTTTTGGGCCCACCCTGCAATCCAGCATCACCCCCACATCTCAAGTCCCCACCTGAGTCCATCTGCAAAGTCCCTTTTGCCCTGTGTGGTGACAGAGTCACAGGTTCTGAGGATTAGGACGTAGGCATCTTAGTGAGGGATGGATTCTTCTGCCGACCGCAGGCCTCAGAGTTGACAGGCAGGGGAGGGGCCCGGCCGCATGGGCAGCAGAGTGTCCGTCCACGTGTGTCGAGTCCCTGCTCATTCCCGACACCCCAAGACCTCTATCCCTCAGCTCTGTTCAGACGGCTGCTCCCAGCTCCGTGCTGGTGACCCCCAAAACCCGCCTGCCATCCCCGTTGTCTCCTCTGGTATGCTCAAAGGCCCTCCTGGGTCATCTGCAGCCTCTGCCAGCTTTGCGGGTTGCTCTGGGACTTCTCCAGGACGCTTGAATTTGCCACGCTTCTGGCTTCAGGGCCCCTGGGAGAAGCAACTCCATGGACGGCTGGGGTTGATGGAGTCTGCGGCCCCTCGGGAACCCGCGCTCTCTCTCCCTCTCCCTGCAGTCTCCTGGGCTACCTGACCAAGTATGACTGCTCCAGTGCAGACATCAACCCCATAGGCGGAATCAGCAAGACAGACCTGAGAGCCTTCGTCCAGTTCTGCATCGATCGCTTCCAGCTTACTGCCCTGCAGAGGTGAGCGTGCTCACGGGCTGTGGCTCCTCTCCCAGCACAGGCCTGGCCACCCTGGCCCACACTCAGGCTCCTTCATAGCTCCTGTTGCCTGCTGAATAGTCCTGCCCTTGAGCTGGCACTTGAGGCCTGTGACCAAGCCTCCCTTTCTTCCTGTGGGTGCCTCCACAGCCCCCCGACTCCAGCCAGATCACGGAGCTGCGGCCTCCTGCCTTCCCCGCCTGCCCTGCCTCCCTTCCCCAGGCTGAGGCTTGGTGGACCGAGGCTCGCCACATCTGAGCAGAGCACCTGTGCTTTAGAAGTGACAGAAGACAGGGCCGGGCGCGGTGGCTCAAGCCTGTAATCCCAGCACTTTGGGAGGCCGAGATGGGCGGATCATGAGGTCAGGAGATCGAGACCATCCTGGCTAACACGGTGAAACCCCGTCTCTACTAAAAAATACAAAAAAACTAGCCGGGCGAGGTGGCGAGCGCCTGTAGTCCCAGCTACTCGGGAGGCTGAGGCAGGAGAATGGCGTAAACCTGGGAGGCGGAGCTTGCAGTGAGCTGAGATCCGGCCACTGCACTCCAGCCCGGGCGACAGAGCGACACTCCGTCTCAAAAAAAAAAAAGAAGTGACAGAAGACGGATCAGTGCCCAGACCTTTCCTCGGCCTTTGCCAAGGTTTCCTGCCACGGGAATGTGTTTTCTTCTCTGCTTATTCTCACTGGGGTGACTGTGCCCCCCAGGGGACAGCAGGCAATGTCTGCAGACATGCTTAGTTAGCTTCGCCACACGGGGTGTGCTGGGCATTAGCAGGTAGAGGCCAGGGGTGCTCCTCAACATCGTGCCGTGCACAGGCCATTGACATTCCCTACAGCAGAGTCCCCTCGACCCGGGTGTGGACGGTGCCTGGTGGACTGGCCCTGCACTGTGCCTCCACCTCTGCCTCTCCTCCTGGGGTCAGGAGGCCACAGCAGTGCCCACGCTCCTCAGGCCAGGGTGCTCACCCCCGCTGGGAAGCCCAGCACCACAAGCCTCGGTGATGTCCTGCCCAGGGTGAACGGAGTGACCAGGGCCAGCACACTCGGGAAACTTAGTTTGGGGATTCTCTCCCAGAGCTCACACCACCCTCGCAGCTGCACTGACCCACCTCTGTGTGTTTTGGCTGCAGCATCCTGTCGGCGCCGGCCACCGCAGAGCTGGAGCCCTTGGCTGATGGACAGGTGTCCCAGACCGACGAGGTAATGGCAGTGACTTTGCCACGGCGCTTCCTGCCCTCCTCCCCACCCCCTGCATGGTGGTGCTGGCTCTTCCAACCTCCCTCCTGACCCCAGGAGCTGTGCTCCATCACTGTCACTGGGTCCCTGGCCTGGGTGCCCAGGGCTCAGTGTCAGTCACATTGCTGGCCTTTGACACTTCAATTTACTTCCTCATGGTTGGGGCCCCAGAACGAGGATGACATGGTGGGAGGGGAGGGAGAGCATATGGCGGGCGGAGGAACACAAGTCCCTCGCAGGCAGGAGGGACGTCTCTGCTTGTGCTTTAGAGTGACCTAGGAGGAGAATCGCCCTTGACTCCTCCACTGCACACTGGCCTTTCATGAAGAGGCCCAGGCTGCGGTTTGTAGCTTAATGGATGCTGGGAGAAGTGGCTGTGGGCTTTTTGTGATAAGATCCATGACACTCTAGCCTCTTAGGTCACAAGGACTTGTTGCTATAATTTCTTCCAAGCGTTTTCTAGTTTTCATCCTTACATTTAGGTCTCTGATCTAGTTGAGTTACTTTTGTGTGTGGTGTGAGGAAGGGGTTCAGTTTCATTCCTTTGCATGTGAATATCCAGTCGTCCTAGCACCATTTGCTGAAAGGATGATTCTTTCCCCCATTGATTTAGCTTGGCATCCTTGTTGTAAATGTAGGATTTATTTCTGGACACTCAATTCTGTCCCACAGATTTTTTCTGTTTTTCCTTATGCTGGTCCCACACTGTCCTGATTATTATAACTTTGTAGGAAGGATTTTGGCTACTCTGAGCCTCTTGAATATCCATATGAATTTTGAGATCAGCTTGTCAATCTCTGGAGAAAAAAAAAAGCTTGCATTTTGATGGAGATTGCATTGACACTAGATCAGTTTGGGGAGTTCTGCCGTCTTAATCATAAGAACTCTTCTGATCCATGAACATGGGACATGAAATGTCTTACTTATTTAAGTTGTCTCTACTTTTTTTTTTTTTTTAGACAGTGTCTCACTCTGTTGCCCAAGCTGGAGTTGCAGTGGCACAATCTCAGTTTATTGCAACCTCCGCCTCCCTGGCCCAAGCAATTCTCCTGCTTCAGCCTCCTGAGTAGCTGGGATTATGCATGTGCATCACCACGCCTTGCTAATTTTTTTGTGTTTGTAGTAGAGATAGGGTTACACCATGTTGGCCAAAACATGAGGCCTCAAACTCCTGGCCTCAAGTAACCCACCCGCCTTGGCCTCCCAAAGTGCTGGGATTACAGGATTGAGCCACTGCGCCCAGCCTCTAATGTCTTTCAACAACGTTTTTTCTAGTTTTCAGAATTTAAGGTTGCATTTCTTTTGCCAAATGTATTTCAAAATATTTTATCGTTTTTGATACTCTGGTGAATGGAGTTGTTTTAATAACTTCATGTGTAGATTGTTCATTGCTAGTTTATAGAAAAACACTGTTGATTTTTGCATATTGACCATATACCCTGCACCTTGTTGAGCTCATGTATTAGTGCTCAGAGCTTTTTAGTAACCTCCTTAAGATTCCGACTTACAGGGTCATGCCGTCGCAGCTAGAGAGAATTTCTGCCAAGCCTGATGATCCTAACCCAGGGCAGGCCCAGGCTGATCGATGTGTTTGTATTACTAGTTTTTAACAAAAAAATGTTAAAAAGCAAAATAAAAAATCTGTTTTTTAATAGAAAGAAGCTTATAGAATAAGAAAAAATATTTTTACAATTAGATCCATGACCCTCCAACTTCCTTAGGTCACAAGGATTTGCTCCTATAATTTCTTCCAACAGTTTTATTGTTTAAGTCCTTATGTTTAGGTCTGTGAGCCAGTTGAGTTAATTTTTGTGTGTGGCAGCTGACAGTGTATTTGTGTTTTAAGCTGTTATTATAAGAGTCCATTTTTTTTTTTAATTAAAAAGTTTATAAGGTAAGGCTGAGTGCGGTGGCTCACGCCTGTAATCCCAGCACTTTGGGAGGCTGAGGCGGGAAATCACTGAGGTCAGGTGTTCAAGACCAGCCTGGCCAACATGGTGAAACCCCATCTATACCAAAGAAATACAAGCAAAACAAAACAAACAAACAAAGAAGTGTATAAGGTATAAAGGTTACAATAAGCTAAGGTTAATTTATTATTGAAGGAAGAAAAATATATTTGTATTAATTGACTGTAGCCTAAGTTTACAGTGCTTAGAAAGCCCACAGTAGCACATCCCATTCACCCACCACTCACTCCCTGACTCACCCAGAGCGGCTTCCAGTCCTGCAAGCTCCAGTCCTGGGAAGTGCCCTACGCAGGTGTCCCATTTTTTATCCTTTCTACTATATTTTTACTGTCCCTTTTCTACATTTAGATACATAAATACTTAGCCTTGTGTTAGACTGGCCCAGAGTATTCAGTACAGCAACATGCTGTGCCCGTGTGTAGCCAAGGAGCTCAGGCTGTACCATGGAGCATAGGCGTAGGAGGCTAGACTATCTGGATGTGTGTAAGTGCCTTGAGGATGTTCACAAGATGCAGTGGCCTGGCC